TGGGCAGGAGCCATGGGCGAGGTGGTAACATGTGTGAGGTTACCGCCTTCCTCATTGAGGGCCAGAACAGGCAGAAGGCACATGTGTGTGTTATAAAGGCAAAACAAACAAACAAAAGATTACTTATGTCAGTAGTTTAAAATGCCTTGCACTATTACTAAATATCCATTACTGGATTGGCATCAGTCATTATGGTTGATCATCGGCTATCGATATTGACTTAGAAAATCTTTATTGGTGCACCTGTAATTGGGAGTCTGCCAATTACAAAAAGGAAAAAAAAATCATGGAATCATAGAAAATTAGGGTTGGAGGTCATCTAGTCCAACCCCCTGCTCAAAGCAGGACCACCCCAACTAGATCATTCCAGCCAGGGCTCGTCAAGCCAGGCCATAAAAATCTCCAAGAGGGAGGTTCCACCACCTCGCTAGGTAAAATATTCCAGGGCTTTCCCACTCTCAGAGCGAGAAAGTTTTTCCTAATATCCAACCTAAACGTCTCTTTCTTCAACTTGAGACCATTGTTCCTTGTTCTGTCATCTGCCATCACTGAGATCAGTCTTGCTCTATCTTTTTTGTAACCACCTTTCAGGTAGTTAAAGCCTGCCATCAAATCTCACCTCAGTCTTCTCTTCTGCAGACTAAATAAGCTGTGTGTGCACATGTGTATTTTAATTAGAAGTCATATATAGAAACAAAATCATCAGACTTCCAGTAGTCAGGGTACAGCTGACTGAGATGATGTTAAATATGTACCAGGAATGTTAAACATCTACATGATGCATCCTGGTAGATGTTTAATATCATCTTTAGTTACTAACAGCCTGGAAAGTATTTGTACAAGTGAAGTATATCATCCTGCTTCTTTCCAAACAAAGAACAAAAAATACAGTTCTGACTTTCCCGCACCATTAGATTTACCATCTTTATTAGAAATGGGATTATACCATTGTTATGGGTTCTGTTCTTCGTAATATACTTAAACTCCTAAATGTCTTCAGCCCTGCCAGACATGATTATCATGATGTCTAATTTAAAACAACTTGCCGTTTTGCATAAGCACAGACAGTCAAAAAGGCAAAGGCTGAATTGATTCAATCTTCGCAGGCTAGTCCAAGCAGTGTAGATTGAACTAATAAGCAAGTGCAAAGACATTCACTTTTGATTCTGGAAATGCAGCCACATGACTGCAGTGGCCCAGGCCAGAACCCAGGGGGCACCAGAGCAGCCTTCCTATTTAGCTATAGCAGAGAGCTTTAGCCAAGATTATCATGCCCACCCTGAGAAGGGGGGAAGGGTTGTGGGGGAGATGCAAAGCATCCTGGGAAGCTGCAAAACTGTGAGTTACCACTATACATTATCAACTTTGAAAGCAGTTTATGTGCACTGAAGTCCTGTTCTGTTACAGATTTCAGCTGGTTGCCAATCACTTATATTGGTTTATATGTAATTTCTGTCCCTAGCTTCTGTGCCTACCGACTTGTGTGTTTGATCATATAATCTTATCTCCTATATGACGCAAAACATAGAACTTCCCCAAATCAATTCATGCTTGAACTAGAGCATCACTTTTAGAAAAACATCCAGTCTTGATTTAAAAGTTGTTGGTGATACAGCATCCATGTACCCTTTGTCAGTTGTACAAAAGGTTAATGGCCTTGTTGTTAAAAATGTGCACCTCATTTCTAATCACATGTATCCTGCTCTAAATTTCCATGACAACTGCTACTTTCTGATCATTTCTGAACCTCAGAGACATTTTTACAATTTTAGCCAGTTATAATATGTGTACTTGCAATGTCACTATTACAAATTCTCAAATACTTTTCAAGAATGTCACAACCCAATTAACTTGTGCCCATGCCACTGAGCAAGAGATACCATTCAAATCATCTTCATTTGACTATTAAGGGTTAAAAGACTTCCCTGCCAAAAAATTCCTTGAAACAAAACGCTGGTGGTGTACTACAGATAATTGGTCAGCTGAAATAAAATGCTAGGGGAAACTATATATAATTGGTCAAAGATAAACGTAAGCTCCTCACACGTAGCACACACGTAACAGGTAGAAAAACCTAACCCACTACCTTGTAACTTGAGGAGACAAAGAGCTGCCACCTGCCAAAAATTAAAGATTCCATATAACGGTTCACGATTGGACATCTCTGTCAAACACCTCTGCCTATAAATAGTTTAACGGTTTCTGCCCAAGTCAGAGAGCTCTGGGGATCTCACAGGAAACACCTGTGCTTGTCACCAGAGAATTGGGAAATTGATCAATTCCCAATCGATCACCCCGTCAGCATAAAATATTGACGTAGAAAGTCTTGCAAGCGCGACCGTCTGTTTTCGGCGCCACGTCCGTCATTATCTCGTCGTAACCTAACTGCGTGCGTGTACTCGACTCTGTAACCAAAGTTATATGCGCATATTTGACTCTGTAACCGAAGCTGTAACGGAACAAAGGCTCGCCTGCGTCGTCCATCACTATCTAGGCGACGTAAGTAAACAAACTCCTGTAACCTACACGCGTCTGTGCCTGGTTAATTCCACTCCATCCATCACTACCCGCCTGCTGAGCTCTAAATCTAAACACTCCGGTGTGAATCAGGCGGCTGCCGGCTGCTGCTCTGATTCACGACAAAGAAGAATTGCACTTTATAATCTCTAGAAGGAAAATTTTCGAAATCTTTAATATTCAGTTATTTTTCAATATTAAATCTCATTGCACTTTATACAAATGGAAAAATCTGTTCAGTCAAATTGATAATATATATTTGAATTTATTTTTTCACCCTATGTCCCAAAGTGCTTCAGAAACTTTATAGGTAGAATGCAGAATCACAAATTGAGTATTCACTTGGGCACAAGAGGAGGGAACCAAATTACTTTGTAAACCAAGTAAAAGCGGCACCATTTTGGTTAGATGTCTGGGAAAACTTATTCTCTTTATAAACTGCAATGGAATCTTACAAACAAAATCTAGAAGTACACAATATTTCAAAGTTATTCTTGTCTTAATTCAATGGCTTCTTAATTCAGTCACTAGACCAATTCTAGTCCTGTTTAAATGGGATAGCCAAACTACATGAGAAATCTACTTCGCTGGATCAGTTTAAAATACAGTTGAACTATTTAATGCTGATGAGCATCTACCGTAAAAAAATCTAAGACCACCTACTCTCATCAAAAGAAATTCCAAAAAATATACCAGCAGTCTTAATCTGTAATGATTTAGCAATATGCTTTGGAATCCTAACATGTGAGAAGCACCATGCTTCTTTACGCTTTCATATAAGGAAACAGAAAAGTAGTTAAAAACTTTACATTTTTTAAAAATATTTCTAGCACTTTTTAAATAATTTAAAAAATAAACATTTAAAAGAAATATTCTGCAGTGTAATAAAACTGACACCCGTATAATCAGAGACTCGCAAGGCAAGCCATATGAGGAAAGGCTGAGGGACCTGGGACACTTCACCCTAAAAAGGAGAAGGCTGAGAGGGGACTTGGTAGCAGCTTGCCGCTACATCAGGGGAATATACCAAGGGCTCAGTGAACAACTGTTCCCCAGGTCACTCTTGGGGAAAACCAGGAGTGATGGTCACAAACTCCTGGAAGACTGCTTCAGGTTCAACTCTAGGAAAAACATCTTCACAGTCAGGGTGTCCAGACTGTGCAATAAACTCCCACCAGAAGTGGTACAATCACCTACCCTGGAAATCTTCAAGAGGAGACTGGACGGTCACCTCGCTGGGGTCACCTGACCCCAGTTGTCTTTCCTGCCTAGTGCAGGGGGGCTGGACCCAATGTTCTTGCGAGGTCCCTTCCAACCCCTTACAATCGATGAATCTATGAACCAGGAAAAAGCTCCTTGATTTAATAATGTTCTATGGTAGGTTGAACATTGTATAAAATCAAAACATATTTGGAAAGAAGCTAAACATTCTTTACAAGGTTAATCCTATTCCTTAGGCAAAGAGGGAAGCTCTGAAAATGGCAATACTACTAGACCAGTGTTTCTCAATCAGGGTGCCAGGGCTGCCAGATCTTTTAAAGAGATATGTGAAGAGATATGTGAAGTGTTAGGAGATTAGCAGATAAACTAAGTAGATAAGCTTAGCCTCAATGTCCCTACTTGGAAGATCTGCCATCATCACTGCCAGGCTCCTCTGCAAGGAGATAAGCAGTTTCATCTATAAATTAGCTTTTGAAATTGGGTGCCACTTAATTCACAGAAGTTATGGGGAACTGCTTTAAGTCCAGTGAGGGGTGCTTCAAGACCTAAAACCTTTAAGAACAATCCTAAAACTTTGAGAACCACAGTACTAGATATTCACAATGCATATTTATAAGACAGAGAGAATAAACAATATGATAACCATCCCATTTGACAAGTCAAACTTGTCATAGGAAGAACCACATCTTTCTCCAATACTTAAATGTGTAAATCTTCACCTTTGTAGGATTAAAACCCCAGATTTGAAAAGGAAGAGTCTCACTTGAAAACTGAGACACAAAAGATTGAGAAAATCTTATTACTGAAAATAAACTACCAACCTATCAGCCAGCAAAGAAACAGAGCTGTAATGTTAGACTGCCACAGTGTGTTAATGTGAGTGTAAGAAAAAGGAAGAAATCATATTTAACTGCACATTGCTAGCATTACACTGACACAGTGAACTTCAGATCCTGCAAATTACTATGGTATAGTTTTTACACACAGCATGTTTTTAAGTTATCAATATCTACCTGTTGTTAATCTCCTATAAACTGGCATTGATTAAACAAATTTATTATAGTAGAGGTTACCATTTCTCTCTCCAGTATTACTGACCACACCAACATTTCACACAAAGCTTACAACAGTACATTAACCACCAGAGAACCGAGTGTTGTTGGAACAGGATATTTATTGCAAAATATTTCCTCATTTCTGTGTACAGCGACTACTGTTACCTTACATCTAATAATTTGTTTTTCCGTTCTGCACTTCTGTAGGATCCAACTTAAAGGACTTACTGGGACAGCAGGCAAAATAAGCAGCATAAGCCAACCAGGAAATGATTTTAGCACAAAGGATGCAGACAATGATAAATGTATTTGCAAATGTTCACAAATGCTAACAGGAGGTAGGGATGATTTCTGTTTCTTGGTCTTCCTATTTTTATTGGCAAAGAAACTATTCATGAGGCAAACAGTGGTAATTCTGACTTATTAAATACTGAATAGTAAGTCCAAAATTTACAGACTTAGATGCAAGTAGGCAGTTAATTTATATTGAATGCATTACTATTTCAGACAGGTCAGTTAAAGTAAATGTATAGTTAAAACTGAAGGAGTTAAAAATGAAAAGCTATCATTTCTCTCAAACAGTGTCACTACAAGGTCTCCTATTCTGAAACTGCTGGAGAGAAAAAATAAGATTGTGCTTTCAAGAAATAGAAACATTCCCAAGAAATGCCTAAGAAACCTGACAGGAATTATATTTAAAATCAAAGAAATAATTTCTAATAGCTTATTTAGATACTAGAAGTTACTAATGATGCTAGGGTTAGAAGTCATTATATTACCCATTGAAAAACAACATTATGGCATCGTTATCATGCAAGGTTGAATGTATTCCCACATTTAGATAATTTGAAGTGACAGTATTTAATGGACAAGACATTGTAATTAGTATGTTGGTGAATACATTCTAAATCAATACACTCAGCATCACAAAACTGTAATGTATGTGTGCATTTTATCTTGAAAGGTAATAATTTTAAAGCACACTGGTAACTCTCAGATCTGTGTTTTCTGCTCTTACAGGCTGGTGGTTTGATGCATGTGGTCCTTCCAACCTGAATGGAATGTATTACCCATTGCGACAGAACACCAACAAATTTAATGGCATTAAGTGGTACTACTGGAAAGGGTCAGGCTACTCTCTCAAAGCCACAACTATGATGATCCGACCAGCAGATTTCTAAATGCTTTTGCATTCTACATGAATTGTGTATCATATAATCTTCAAAGACTTCATGTGCCAAACATTTAAACACACAGCTGCAACTTCTCATTTTCCAGCCCAGAAAACATGCACTAATGTTCTGAAGGATCAATTTGATTCTGATTCTTGAATTGCAATAGCCATCATCAGCTAAAGCTTACATTACTCAACTAGACACAGCAAAGTCTAAAACATGAAGTAATCTGATATAATAATGATTTGGCAGAACAACTGATTTAAGAGGATGTCCAAGAAACTGTCAAACAACTTAAGGACTACATTTTGTTGATCATCTATGTCATGCGTGTGTTAGTAAATAACTGGAACTGTGAAAAATATGTATAACTTAGTTTTAGAAATGTGCCTCATCACTGAACTTTAAACACCACACTGATATAAAACACTCCTAACTTGCAGTCTAGACCTATACCTATTTTCTATACCATGCCATGTTTGTAGTTTATTGTACATAAAAGTATACTGTCCTGTAATTAGATCATTGAAATAACATTCCTTTTTTTTTATTATAGTTTTCTGAGCAACATTTACACTTATTCAGGGATTTTCTTGTAGTCCATATCAGTTTATTTAACAATCTTAGGAGAAATAGCTTTTCCATCTAAGTGCCTTGCATTTATTCTCGGAAAATACTATGTAAAATCAACCATGTTTTTTTCATTTTAATTATCAGATTTTGTACTTGTTATAGTTGTTATGATAAAGCTACAAAAATCCCTGTTAATTATAGTATAGTAGCATGTGTTTCATTACATTCTGTATGAAGATTGCACTTTTCTTCCTAGTTAAATGTAAAATACCTGGCAAATAGGTATTTATAAGAATACTTATGAGACAACAGCATTAGGCTTCAGATAAGTGCTGTTGTCTATGACTATTAAATATCAGCTGGTGCTGTAGTCAATTTAGATTTTTTATGAAAATAAGCTAGCTTAAAAACAAATGTACTCTTTGATGAAATACAGTTGTTTCTTTCTTAAGGTAAAGTTTTACTGCTCTTGAGAGAGAGGAGGAAGTTAAAAATGACCTCAGGCCAAACAGTCTTCTGTATGTGGCAGTGGTCGAGCCCTTATTGTATATAATTACATGAATACATTGCTTTACTGGGTGACTGACTATTTTTGTTCCATATATATGCTTAAATAGATACACTCATATATCAGAATAGAAATGTTGGAGTTCAGCTTCAGAAGGCCCTTTATTCTAAATCTTTTCCGATGTTTTATAAAGCTGCTTCCAAAAATTAACTTTTGGGAGGACATTTCTTACGCTTAGTGTCAGACCTAGTGCAATAAGTTTGGATATTTTTCATTTTACTCTGCTGATCTTTAAATTCCATGTATGAAACAAAATAAAGCATATTTCTAGTTCAGAGAATCTTATCAGATGCTTTTTAGGCTCAGGTAACAAAACATGTTATATTATAATAATAATGATTAGTTTTGAGAAAGGAGTTAAACACAACTACCAAACCATCCTGTTACGAATATAATCTGCTCCCAAAAAAGTATTTCAGTCATATAAACACACAAGGAGAATGTAAAGACTTAACAAAAAGGCAGAAATTCCTCTCAGCAAGCTTTAAGAAGGGTGGCCAACCTGCAGCACATGTGCCACAAGTGGCATGGGCAGCCTCTGTGTGGCATGTGGCAGATGGGGAAGGGAGAGGCAGTGCAGTGCAGTCAGGAGACAGATAGCAGAGCAGCAGATAAGACAGGGGAAGAGGATTGGAGTAGCATTTGGAGAGGGTGCAGGGATAATGTTTTATAGCTGCCAGAAAAGGCTGGCCTCCACTGCTTTACAGAATGCTGTTTAAAACTACACTAATTACTAATAACTTGCCAAGTTATTACACAGAAGGTGATTTGAACAGAAAGAGAGACCCCAAAAGCTTTAAGCTAAAATCATATGTTTTTTCTAGCTATGCTCTTCAACAAATTTTGTAACAACCCACAGTTGGCAAAACAGGATCAACAACTATTATATGACAGAAAAGAACATGTTATTTTTTGTACTGCTATAGTACAAAATCAAAGACCAGGACTCCCAAATACATAAAACTATCCACCAACTACATAAAACTATCAGAATTAAAATACAACGCAAATTTCTTCCCATCACCACAGAGTCATTGTAAAATAACTACAGTATTTTCTGCATGCTTTGATAACATGCTGTATACAATCAAATAATAAGTCCTTTCAATATTCCTAATCATTTTATGCAAATTTTAAAACATTCAAGATCGAGGTTTCAAATAACAACAAAGAAAGGAAAATTGTAGTAACTAGGAACAAAATTCAATTTCTGAACTAAATTCTCTCATTACAGCATCTTAAATACTATAAACAACACAGAAATATATTTACACAGCTGCTACGTTGTCAAGACAAACTGTAAACCCTTTTCACAATAAAACTGACGTGATCAACAACCAACTTGATTCAATTGTTTGTAACAAAGCCAAAAACAAATTAACTGATTAATAAATTTAAATGATCTGAAGCAAAGGTGCTGTTGAATACAGCTCTGTCTGCAGGTAAGGAAGCTTTTTGTACAAATGACCAATTTATGATTTGGAAATGCACATTCAGGAAGGAAAAATGCTCTGTAGTACTCCCTTTTTAGGTTTTTAAGCCCACAGTTACTTTATGCTTCTAAAGTAATTGAAAAAAAACCCATTAATGTGAGAAGCATCTGTGACTGAAACGTTAAACTGTGGTCTGTAGCAGTTTGCCCATTTTAAGAAATTGCTCTCCAATTGAGAAATAAAACAGTGAGATATAAGACCATCTACTACCAGATTCACAGACATCTATATTTAAAGGTAAGATTATTTAACTCAGAAATTACCGAGTATCTTCTTAAATTTTTATCATATGGTACCAGAAACTAGATAGACACTTCAGAACAGATGACTATGCAAAAGAGAAATGAATACTTCACAAACACTTTGCTAAATTACTCTCTCTCCCAGATATCAACTTCCAAATCTACGAGTCACTGTCTGGTATTATCACTCAATGTGCAGACTCCATCTGCCATGTCTGAGCATTTGTAAAGATTGAAGTTCTCAATTTAAATGCTGTGCTGTTTGTTGGACACTTCCATTCACACAGAGGGGTGTTCAAGATGTTCATCTTGTGAAGCATTGTTTTGAAGTGTCCCTATCCAGATCTCAGTTTATTCAGCCTGGCCCATGCTCCTCTGTCAAGATTGTGCCCAGTGGGGCATAAATGCTGTAGGAATAGGTCTGACCTTTCCCAGTGGTCAGCCCACTCCATTGCTGCCCATAGGTTTGGCTCAGCATCCCCAATCTCTTCCACGAGCTTGTGGGTTTTACGTGCAAATGGTTTACAACTTAAGCCTCTGTCTGTTCAGGTCTTCAGTTAACAGTTGATGGAGCAGGTGATTTTCATCATCTCTTGCTTCTATTTCCAGTAATGATATTAGGGTCTATCATCTTATATCACTTGGTCTAATGCCCTAGAGTACAGGGAATATATCTGTGTGTGTGTGTAATTTGCGCAGCCTGTTAGAAGTCTCAGCATACTGCTAAGTACAGTGCTGAGCTTTTTAGTTTGACAACTTCCAGACCACAATATTCTGCAGAGGCGTATACCATTGTAAGCATGGTGGTTCTGAGCACTTCGAAGTTGGCACCCCATGTTGTGCTGGCAAACATCTTAAGGCAGCTAACTGTGCAGAGACTTTACTGCTGATCTTCTGAACGCGATGTGTACAAGTGAGGGAAAGGTCTAATGCGACTTCTAGGGGGGTTGGGGTATGCTCATGGGGAAGGATGTGGTTGTCTACTCTGATATATGCTCTTAGCTTGATGACTGTCCAGATGAAAGAGCAATGACACTGATTTATTGATGCTCATCTTTAAGTGCCACTTGTGGCGATAGCGATGAGTTCCATATCAGTACTCAGTACCTTTTCCAGTTCTGTTTTCCAATTCTGATATATTAACTACAGAATGAGCCAGAGCAACATCTCCTATCTAGGAGAGTAAAGCTCGACTGTTCTTCAACTTAATGTTGAAGGCTTTACCTCACTCCAGCAATCAGTGCTGGAACACATCACCAGGGAAATGAAACCACATACAATCCTTCTACAAGAAACACATAGAGCAGCTATGGAAGAGGAAGCTCTCAGGCTACAGCCTTACAGATTCTATAGCCAGCAGAATCCATGGCCTTGCTACGTTTAACAGAAGCGACCGGTCATAGCCTACCAAAGGACATGACACTTCCCAGAGTGCAAAAGAATGCAGCGCTGTCCAGGTCAATAACGCAGTCATCATCAATATATACAAGCCACCCTCTGCCATGTTGTCAAATCACATCCCTGCCTATTTATGACCAGATAACTTTATATGTAGGTGACTTCAACTGTCAGTATCAAGATTGGGGATACTCCATTAGTAGTGGCAAGACACCATTGCCTCCACCTGCAGACAATTTTTGTCTTTGGACAAGTGTAAATGATACAAACCTCATACATGACCTGAAGGAGCCATGTAACTTCCACTCTGGACATTGGAACATTTAGATGAACCCAGATCTAGCCTGGTGGAAGGACGACTTGAATAAAATACCAATATGAAAAGTACTTGACAAGTTTCCATCATCTCAGGGCAGATCCTCACTCATCAGCACTGGCGGTATGATTTTTCAGCTCTCACCATCGGGATCATTCCCAAGATGTTTGGAAGGCAGATTGGCATAAATAACAAGGGCTTCTGAATTACTGCTTAACTTTTAAATGAATATTTTGAAGAAAATGATACAACTGGTAACCCATGTCTGATACACTTGTATTTGCTTCACTACAAAAAATATCTTGTTCTCATGAAAGTGCTTATTTTTTAAGTCCAGCCAGAAGCAATATCACTATTCATTAAGACAAGGCTACCCAGATTCATAAAGGCTGGGGTCCATGTGCTGCACAAGTTGTGGGCTGCATAACACCCAGGACCGCCACTGCACGCAGCTCCTCCACTGTGTGAGCAGAATGAGCTCCCCATCACTGCTTCTACATGAGCAGTGTGAGTCTCCTCCTGGTGCTGGTGTAGGCTGTAAACTCACCAGGACTCCTGCTGTGCTGAACTGCCCCAGAGACCCCAGCCACAACTGCTGCAACAGCCAGAGCAACAGGGGCAGTGGTGGCCAGGTAAGAATCAGAGCTGCGCATTTACCAGGATGTGGCCCGCAGGCCACCACTTGGACAACGGTGCATCAACTAATCAGTTTTTAGCAAACTAAGTTCACAAACATAAAGAGATATTTAACTTACGGGAGCTGCAGGGAAACTGGCTGAAAGTTCATATGGTTCCTCTGAGATCCAACATCCAAATTCCAAAGACCACAGTACCTTAAAAAAAAAAGCAGTAAGTAAACTTTTACAATTTTATAGAATTTTTTAGAGACTGTGAACCATAGCCACTTTGAGTACCTAACTAAAACTAACGATAAAGTTAGTATAGCGGATGCCTCATTGCTTCTATGCCAACAATATGTTTTCCTAAAGGTTAAAAAACAAGTATAAAATGTGCTTATTTTCAGAAGTGAGATAAATATTGCTATGCCCCAGTTATGACACCAGACAAGTTAAGAAATGATTGCTATTATTTCACGAGAGAAACAACTTGATGGGTTACAAAGAATTCTAGGGAACAAGATATCAGTTTTGTATACTCCCATGCCTCTAGTAATTTTTTAAAAAGTTTGTGCTTTGTTGTTATTGTATTTAATTTTTATTCTAATGGACTCTAAAGGCAGAATTCTGTTTTTCCTGATACATGACCTAAGCTTGCAATGATCTCTGAGCTGATTTCGTACGGCAAGCTTTAAACTAGGATTGTTGCGGGATGGGGATGCAGAGGTGCAGGAGGACACTTCAGTGTCAAGCCAGGTGACGTGAGCAGGAACAACCCAGATAAGTGACAAAGGCCCAGGCAAGCTTGGGAACAAGAGGGCAGCACGGTCACCCATAGTTGGTCTCAATTGCCTCTACACAAATACTAGAAGTATGGGGAATAAGCAGGAGGAACTCATCCTCCTGCTAGCTAGCAAAAACCCAGCCCTGGTTGGGCTTACAGAAACCTGGTGGGATTCTACCCATGACTGGGCAGTACACAGAGGGCTATAGGTTGTATAGACGAGACAGAGTAGGGAAAAAAGTGTGGGGGGGTGTAGCGCTGTATGTTAAAGAGCAGTTCAAGTCCTCGATGATCAGGATGAGTTCAGAAACTGAGGCGCTTTGGATTAGAATGCAAGGGGGTCATGGGGAAAGGGACTTGGTAGTGGGCATCTACTACAGACCACCTCACCAGGGGGATGAGCCGGACCTAGAATTTCCAGGTCAGCTCATGGAGGCTGTAAGGACAAAGGATGTGGTTGTCATGGGTAACCTAAACTACCCAGACATCTGCTGGGAGGATGAGACAGCCAGGTCTGAACGCTCACATAGGTTTTTAGCCTGCATACAAAACCTCCACCTAACCCAGGAGGTCCATAATCCCACCAGGGAAAAGCCTTGCTGGACTTCCTCTTTGCCACAGGCGATGACCTGGTGAGGATCTGCAGGTGCTTGACTGCCTAGGCGTTAGTGACCATCGTCTGCTGGAATTTACTATCCGGCGCAGGGTGGTGAAAGCAAGCAGTAAGACAAAAGTCTTTGACTTCAGGAGAGCCGACTTCAATGAGGTAAGGAGATTAGTAAGAGAGACATTGAGGACTTGGAGCCTCAGTGAGATGGGAGTCCAGGATGGGTGGTCGTTCCTTAAGGAGACGATCCTCTGAGCTCAGAGGGAGTCAGTCCCAATGCTAATCAAAGGGGGCAGGAATG